AAAATAGTGAGGATGGCAAAAATGACAATAATGCTGCCACATCGTTGCTTGAAGATTGTAAAAATATTGAAATAGGGTATCTAGACAGTTTAAGGGGCTCTAAAACGTAATAACGTTATCGACCCAACCAAAGTTAGCACTTCATTAATGTAATTATTAAGATTTTTGCATTGCAATCGATAGTTCGTCGATTGTTCTTCATTGTTCGTCCATTTTTAACATCAGCTCCTCAGCCAAACATTTATAATTAATTTTTTACATATTACGATTCCTGCATTTAGCCCCTAACGCTACATTTACATAGGACAATTTGAGACAAGACAATTGAGAATATGTATTAGTTGTCAAATTGTTGTATACAGTAGGCGTCCAGAGGGTCAATTCCCGTTCTGCGTTATCGTGAAGTGATAAAAATAACACCTTCACACCGCATTTATTTCGGTGTTAATTTTATACTTTTCACTTCATTTCACGATAACGCAGAACGGGAATTGACCCTCAGACAATTATAAAGACAATACATTTTTCTGCAATAGCCGTTACTGTCGTTTGGCGTGAATTTCAAAATATCCAAACACAAACCACTTTTTTATAATTCTGTGGTTTTTGCGATTTTGTCTGGCCTCTTTTAGTTAAATTAACCAAGACGTGACCGAATTGTCCAATTTACTGTCTTCGAAAAATCAAAGACAGTGACGAAGCCAATGAGAGGAATGTGAATGGATTAGTGAAAAAGTGTGTATGTGTTGCTATTGTCTTAAATTGCCTCTTGTAAACGCCGGGTAGGGTGAAAGAATTTCAATATTTTCATTTGTCAACTGTAATAAATTGTTTATTCGTCGTTTGTTAATCCCTTAAATCTAGCACAAGCCGTCAACAAAATTCATCACTCAACGATTTTCCATTAATCGTTTAAACCATAGTAGGGCCGCAGCACGTCGGATCATTTCCGGCAGTTGCAGCGGATTTTCGGAGCTATTTCAAGAGATTCAGGACTATTTCGGTATTTTTGGAACTATTTCGCAATTGGGATTTTCGATACTACTTTGAGATGTTCGAGACCATTTAGTAGATTGTTGGGACTATATCGGGATTTTTAAAACCACAAAGCTGACCGTTTTATAGCTGGGGCCAATTCACGTTGTAAGAAATGGAGAAGTTAAAATAAAATTTATTTTGAAAATTTTATCATTTCATTTCAAGCGACTCTCGATCATTAAAGGCTTTTCCATAAAAATCTGGCATGTAATTACACGGTATTGATTAGTTTCTACTTAAATATGCCATCTGAAATTGGGCTAAAAATGTACTTTATGTAAAAATATGTGTCCTTAAAGAACCGCCCACACACAACTTTGGCGTTGCATTGGTGTTGGCGTCGCTTCAACAGCTGACTATACATGAATACACGAATTCAAACAGTTCCCAGGATAGTCGAGTCTACGTAACCGTAACGAGCCATATTTATCTGGCCAAGGACTGTTACTGCAGCATCATTCCTCAAACCACTTTGGGCAACGCTAACGACAACACAAAGCAGATATAGTGTCAACTCTCAATTATTCACATGCGTCGTTCGTTGGCTGTAGCAAATAACTAAAATTTTAGTAAAATATAAATATATTTAATTGATTTCTCATATTGAAAACAGTTAAGTAAAATAAAAAATTTATGCATAAAATGTTTTTCCCTAGAGGTAGATTAGCTGATAACAAATGCCTCTTTTGTCCAGTGTATCTAATTGTGCCTGCTTTCAATTTTGTTAATTTGCGTTCGTCGTTGTTTTCATTTTGTTTCAAGTCGATTTTGACTTACACAGCAAAGCACCGATGTTTAATTTTCGTAAATACATACACATATGTTCATATGTGTTACCCAAATCCCGTTGAGCTAATCCCATGTTACACGGTTTTGATCTTTGGCCGACTGCCGTTTTACCACTCGCTTACAATAGAATGCGGCTATTATTATATCGATCGAAGGTATATGGCAGCTCGTTTATTTTTTTGCACATCAGCTGATTGCCAAATATGTGTCAACTTTGACTTTTATTATTGAAAGCAAGGGTATTTTTGCAATTTTCAACCGAGTTTGTGCGAGTGATTCGTAAGTAAATTAAGCGTGTAAAAAACGATATAAAACAAAATAAATTTAATCCCACGCCATCAATATGCGCGAGGTTCCAAAAACGTACGTTTACAACAGTAAACTCCAACAATATCGGCATAATTAATGTTTCTTGCAGGCTCAGCATTGCGGTGACCACACCTGGCAGTTCAGGACCGTCAGGCGCACCATCGTCCACAGGAAGGCAAGCCAGTCTTGAGGATATACACTTGGATCAGTTCCTCAAAACTTCGAACTATGAAGATACTGTAAAACAATTGGATATCTATTATGGAATTGGTAAGCAAATGACTACCCGTGTGTATGTACATACATGACAATTTGAATAAATTTTTAATTGACTGTCCTCTGAATTGGCTGTTGCTAGCGTTATATAATTAGCAAGATAGAAATTTTTATTGACTGCAAGACGATCGCACACAACGCGACAACATGCTGTTGATTGCTTCGAGTTGTCAATTAGTTATTTTTATACACTTGAGAGAAATGCACAGCAGCCTAAAGCTCATCTTATTTTGCCTTGTTTACACGTAGCAGCTCAACAACATTGCTTGCCGATAATTGCGGCGTTGATGCTCGCTTTGTTGTTGTTGCTACACATTTTCGCAAAATAAAATAAATGTTTTCAAATTTAGCTTTTCGTTTTTTCCTTCGCGTTTGTTTACATCGCCAGTTCGCATCGCTAACAGCAGCGCCTTTTATTTGACAAAAATACATTGACCTTTTGTATGAAGCAGCTGCTAGTGATAAGAAATGCACTGCGTTGGTAAATAAACATAAATTTCAGCCACTACTTGTGTGAAATAGAAACAGTACAAAAAATAATTTTTGGCTTTAGTTCGAAGTATATTTTAGCACATTTTGATTTTGCGGCGAAATTCGGTCAAGGAAAGAAATATTCGCTAGCACACTAAAAATATAATTTATTAAACAAATCCTCTAAATTTTAATAACTTGTATTTGCAGTCAAACGGCAATTACTCCGCTTCCAAAGCCCCATAACCGGTCTCTTTCCCATAATGAGTACGGATCATGAGGTGGGCTCTGTGCGGGATAGTGTTTACTGTGCAGCTGCTGTTTGGAGTTTATATCAAGCCTATCGACGCATTGATGATGATCGTGGCAAATCCTATGAACTAGGGCAATCGACAGTGAAATGTATGCGCGGCATACTGGAATGCTGGGTAAAGCAGGCACGCCGCGTAGAAGTCTTCAAGCAGCGGCAATCGAATCAATATGCTTTACATGGTAAATTTCATTTGCACACTGGTGAAGTGATTTACGCCGATGACGCCTACAATCACTTACAAATCGATCTAGTATCGTTGTACATAATTTTCTTGGTGCAAATGATCACATCGGGTTTGCAAATCATTTATACGCAGGTAAATAAGTAAAATTTAAGTTGTGTGTAAGTATGTAATTTTTTTTAATGAAAAATTGTATTTTATATGCAGGATGAAGTAGCCTTTGTGCAAAATTTGGTTTATTATGTTGAACGCGCATATCGCACGCCCGATTTCGGCATGTGGGAACGCGGTTCCAAGTATAACAATGGTACACCAGAAATACATGCTTCGTCTATTGGTAATTTACTGCAATAATAGGTAGAAATTCATGTATGTGATTTACTTTAACTGTTTTCCATTTTATAGGCATGGCCAAATCGGCTTTGGAAGCCATCAATGGTTGCAATCTATTTGGCGAGAAGGGCGCTTCGTGGAGTGTTGTTTATGTTGATATAGATGCGCATAACCGTAACCGCAGCATTTTTGAAACAATGCTACCCAGAGAATCAAGCTCAAAAGTATGCCAATAATAATCGCTTGCCCCTACAGCTGTTATTGACCTTTCGCACTTTACTTTATAGGGCGTTGATTCATCACTATTACTAACATTGTCTTTTCCTGCCTTTGCTTCGCACGAAGAGCGACTTGTTGAGCAAACCAAACATAATGTTATTACACGTCTGCGCGGCAAGCGTGGTTTCAAGCGTTTCAGCCGTGACGGTTTTCTTAGTAAATTGGAAGATAAGGATAGACGGTTAGCATAAAATAAAACTTCGACATACACATATCGCACGGTTTAACAAACCTTTCCTGATTTTAGCTATTACCATATTGGTGAACTCAAAGATTTTGAGGGTCACGAATGCGAGTGGCCGTTATTCTTTATACAAATGATAATTGATGGCGTATTCAAGAGTAATCCAGAGCAAATTGAAGAATATCAAAATGAATTGCGCAATTGTCTACACACTGATGTCAATGGTGATCCGGTGGTCACAATGTATTATGCACCAGATGGTGAGGGCTCCTATGTGCGTTCACCTTCGCAGACGCTCTTCCTTTGGGGTCAATCGATGTTTATTATCGCACAGCTGCTAACTGCTGGGCTATTACATATCAATGAATTAGACCCAATACGTCGTTACCTACCCAGCTACAATCGTCCAAGACGCGCTGGTCGTTATTCAGCATTTCAGGTACGTTTTAAATTCCAAATTGACACAGCTACATAAGTATATTAAATGAAAAGTATTAATCAGATAATTTTTGCTAGGGTACGCTTTTTAGTGAAAAAAAAAATAGCCGTGAATTAAATTAATTCCTTTAAATCCAGAACTTACTGACCACTGATTTATTAAATTTAACAAACAGAATAATTTAAAACTTTTTAATACGTATAGTATATTTTAATAATACAATTGGCTGTTCTATATATTTTTATATGTTTTTGTGATATTCCTTACAATTCCTTTACAATATCCTAAATAACATGTAAAATTGGTTACATAATACACGTACACATGGGCAGGGAAAAGCCTACGATGACAAATATACCGTAAGTGGAACTTTCGAAAATGAACAATTCTAGTTTTTGCGTTTTTTGTTGTAAGAAGTAGTAGCCGTACACTGAATACACACAGCAAGCACTATGCTCGTATAGATTAAATAAAGTTTTTTAAGAATGCAAAATCACTGATTTTCTTTAGCTTACCTCTCCTCAATGCACCATGTGTAAATTACTTGTTGGAACACGTATTTTTTTCACTACGTCTTGTGCTACCTATAAATATCGCATAGGGTCATTCCATTGAATAGAGGTAAACGACATCAATTTAAATATGTCCTAATTATCTCTATTTCAGTAGTAACCTCTTTTTAAAAGGTTCCATTAGCTTGTGGGAAAATATTAAAAAAATTTAAAAATGTTGTAATTTTTGCCTATGAAAACTTTTATTTCATGCATAATTACTTTATACCGGGCACAATGATGTCCCACAAGTCACAACTTTAAATATTTTTTAATATTTCTATGAAGATTATATAAACAATACATCTTCCGTGAAAATTAAGTTTTTTGGCTAAAATTCATCTTTGAGTGCACAAGGGTAAAATAGAGTTCTTTTCAGTGTCCCACTAGTCAAAATCATTTTTTTTGTTAAAGCAATTTTATACATTAGTTATCGTTCTATGTTAAAAAATATCTTTCGCTGTTGTATAAGTTCCGACGACATAGTTAAAATTCACAATTGATCACAGTCTGGAGTAAAATGTCCCACTAGTCACAATGGAATGGCCCCATAAATATTTTTCATATTTGAATGTACTTTTAAGTTTAATATTTAGATACATTTCACTTACATGCGGTGGCAAAGTGCTTTCAAGTATTGCAATTATACTATCCATACCTTTGTAAATATAACTATGAATCCTCTATTCCATTCAAATGCATATCTGTGAAAATCCACTTCTTCCGTCGAAGGAAAAATGCTGTATCTGTATATTTTCAATTTAAACTACGTATTAGATTTACTAATCCTCATAGCAGGATGCTTCCAGTACTATAAATTTCAGTAAAATTTTGCTAGTATTATTAATGGTACCAACAGTCGAAAAATGCAAGTACATATTTATGATTGACTTTCGAAAAAATTAAATTTATTAATCAGTCCCACCTTTTCTCTGCTTAGAAAATCAACACCATGCTTTAACAAATATGCCGCTTCTATCGTTCCCAAGACAATTAGGTCTATGCACCGCAATAACACGGATTTTTCGCGACCAAGGAATGTTGTTTTAGCGATCTAACCCGGTGCTATTCGGTGAGCCCCATTCAGTGTTGTCTGTCTCCGGATTGCAGCAGGGTTGCTCCAAATCCTTGTAATTACGGCGGGCATTCCGCTTAATCCGCATCTACTGCACTTGGTAATGCATAGAGTTCCCGCCGTTAGTATTTTTGGAAGATCAATCTACGAACCTGTCATCACAAAGGTAAAAAAAGCTCGATTGGCAACATACAATGTGATTGGCCGGACGGGATTTACAGGGCAATTCTGGCAACTGTCTTTCAACTCGATAGGCTTTCGTAAGACAATTGTCATTTCTGGCAATTATCTTGAAATCTCTTTCCTGCCTTTTGAAAGGTCTACTAATGAGTAGGTTTTCGCGTTATTCTGTTCGTCTTTTACCCTACTTCTCCACCTTCTACAGATTCTGTTAAAAAAGCTGTGTTAAGACAGAAATATCAGGTGGAGACCGCAAATTTCCACTGTTAAACCATATCTGTCTTGCCGAATTTCTTACCATCGCTGTCTTACCAGCAAATGTCTTTTCGTTGTATGACAACTCAATTTTCATTGTATTGCGTCATTTACATTGGGCACAGGTCGATCTGATTGGCTTGGAACATTTTTGAAAATGAAATGTTAAGACAGCGAGATGCCCATATGAGAAAACGGGACAGAGTTAAAACCGCAACGGGGGGTTAGCAATAAGTTTTCTAAAAATTAATTTAAATAAAAACTATTTTATGTTTAAAACAATAAAAGTTTAAAATTAAAAAAAATATATATATTAAAAATAGATCAAATAAAATAGCTCTAAAATTAAATGAAATTAAAAAAAAAATATATAATAAAATCTAAAATTTAAAAGCAATTAAAATTGAATTTAACAAAAAAAAATGATTAAAGAAAAAATAAAATATGTACATACTTAAGTGCATAAATATTAAAAGAAATAAAAAAAAACATAAATACCAAGTAGTTAAAAAACACATTGTTGTTGGTAATTAAAAAAAAGAAAACAAATAATTAAAAAGAGAAAAAATAAAATGCTTTGCTAAAAATTAAAAGAAAAATAAAATGTTTTTCTTTTTAAAGCAATGAAATCTAAAAACAAAAAGAGAAGTAAATTAAAAAAAAAAATAAAAATAAAAGTAGAAAGAATTAGAGCTCCTAAAAATTAAAACGAAATTTTGAAAAATATTTTCCGCTTAAAACAATAAAATCTGATAATTAAAAAAAGGAAAAAAATTAAATAGTTCCTAAACTTAAATAAATATTTTTGTTTTTAAAAACAAAATTCAAAAATTTGATTAAAAAAATAAAGTCCAAGAGAAGAAAAAGTAAAAAAAGTTTCTAAAAACTAACTGAAACTAAAAAAATATATAATTTTTTTAACAATAAGCCCTAACAACTAAAAGAAAATTAAGTTAAAAAAGAAAAAAAAAATCAAATTAATAGAAAGAAAAAAAATTCCGCTGACCGAGGATGCGAACCTCGGATAACTCGAGCTTTTCTCACTCGAGCTTTTCACCATTAAAGCTAGCAGGGAGCCTTTTTTCAAGACTTTCGTGCCAGAATCAATTCAATTCAATTCAATTTCAATTGTTTTACAAAAGACTTCCAACTATCTTAGCCATAATTGTTCCAGAATTGGCCTGTTAAACTATGACCAGTAGAAAACAGTGAACGAAGCTTCAGGCCTGTTAGAATGCCGCAATTAGTACAGCCACGGGATGCCCCACGATTTCGCCTTAATACATAGGCCCCAATGATTTCCGTCAGGGAGTATACCATCATGCTTAGCAAGCTGTTCCTTTTGACATGCTACTCTAGGGACCCCTGCTGCGTCAAGAGCCTTTTCATGGATCTTAAAGGTCGTACGACATTCGCTGAACCAGGAATACTATAGACAAGCAATACCTTCGTCAACAAGGAGCGTGAACTGTCACGACAGATCCGCGTTACTTTGGTACAACCACAATCCCGTTGTAACTGCTTGTTTCCTAAGCATAACCTAAGATGAGATTGGCGACAACACTTATTGGGCTCACCGATTTATGCATTGTTTATACATAGTAGTAAGGTGCTACAACAACAACATTGCCCTTTCTGAATTATAATTTAAGATTTTAATGCCATTCTTTTTAGCGCAAAATTACAATTTACGCTGGTCTTAATTTCATTACCAAACGAGCCCGTTCATTTGCAATTAATTTCGCTTTGGAAATTCATTTTTAAACTTTGAACTGTTGAAGTAGTAAAACGAAACCGTTTTTAAGTCAAAGCAATTCCACTCCCAAAAAGGGATTCATACGGTTAATTGACTTAAGTAGAAATGTATGCACATTAGGGTGGTTCTTAAAAAATCTCCTTGTCATGAGGCACACCTTTATTTTGTTGTACGTACAAAATAAAGACATCCACGAAAATTTCAAAATTGAAAAAAAAAATGTTAGGGGTCACTATCAGGGTTTGAAAAAATATACTTTTTTAAATCGCAAAAATTCAACAAAAGTTTGACTTTGACCAGCTATTTAGCGAGTTTACAAAATTATATAAATAAGTTTCAATAAAATGCCAAATTTATCAGATTTCAAGTCATCATTTTTTAGAACCCGTGCGTTATTTTTTATTAAAAATGTTTCAAACTATGGTAGCGACCCCTAAAAAGTTTCTTAAAATTTTTAAATTTTGTACGCAGAGCAAAATAAATGGTGCCCCATAAAAATTTAGATGTTGATATATTAAGTGCCATCCTAGTGTACATATGTATGTATGGGTGCCTCAAAAATTTATAAATTAAAGCTTCTCAAAGCTAATGCTTTTCCACACCAATACCCACTCATCAGTGTATGTATGTAAGTACATATTTTGGTCACTTTTACAAAATTATTTCTAGTCTTTCTTGGTGCTTTTGTGAAATGTCTCTAGCCGAAATGGTGTACATAAATTAACAAAAATTCGAAAAAACAGCTTTACGCTACTAATTTCACAGGATATGTAAAATAAAAACAACTAAACATTATACACAAAACAACAAAATTTTATATGCAACCTTACGCTAACGCATTTAGTTTTAACTGCTTACATATAATTTTTTATCTACAAAACTTTGTTTTTTTTTTTACTTTTTCATTCCCACCTTAGGCCAAACCGGGCACTGTAAGTAACAAAATCAAAAATAACGACCAGGTTTTTATTGGGTCCTTGCGTGGCTTTGACTTTTGTTTGTACATGTTTTGTTTTCTAAAAAAAATGTTGTGTTTTATTTTTGTTTTTTTAGTTAACACAAATGGTTGCAAAAAATTTCATAACTATTAAAAAAGCAAACACACGCATACAAACATCCCAGTAGATAATTTCAGGAGTTAAAAGCCCTTCTGAAAGGCCTTCCTGAGAGTCAAGAGGCCCACTCCACTCTAGATTCTTTTCTCCTTTCTGTTTTGTATGGAGTGGCACAAATTGAAGGGCTTCTTCTTTCGCTACCCATGGAGGGCCTTCCAGAAGGGCTTTTATAGGACATACTTCAGAAGGACTTTTGGGGGAGTTCTTTTAAAGTTGCTTCTTTAATTTATAAAAATCATGCATCTTTGAAGTATTTTTGCTTGCGGTTTATGTGTATCAAACATGTGTTATTGCAGCTTAAAATGTGTATTGAAATTCATTTGTAATGCCAAATAATATAAATTTATGCATTCGCGTAACATGTAAATGGATAAGCCCTTATAGAAGGCATGCAAGGAAGCACTTTTTTCAGTCCTTCTTGGGTAGGCCTCTCAGAATGGCTTTACTAAAGAAGAAGGCCTACCTAAATTATCTTCTGGGATGGATTGAAAATAAACATCGCATATACATACATATGTGAGAAATCCCTACATAAACACCAGGTGTATCTAACTGGCGTGCATTTACACCCAAATAGTTTAGTCGTTTAGCTATGAAATAAACTAACCATAAATTCTATGTACTATCACTTTAGAAATTCAACATTTAACAACCTTGATTTTTGCATCCCTTACTAACCAATAAAAAATAAAATTCATGCGCGACTAGAGGCTACGTGTACCGGCAATTGTGGATGGCCAGGAGGTAATGTGCGTGCTCCATTGCATTGATACTACTTTGTAAATACATACAGACATGCTTTATAATAATTATTTAGTTGCCTCACATTACTTGCTTTAAATACATACATATGTATGTATGTTTTTTAATACACTTAACATAAGTATATACATACATAGCATTTTTAGGGGATCCGTACGATAAGTCGAAATTAAAAATGTCGAAACAGAAATGTCGAAATTTAAAAATTTTTTAAATCTCGAATAATGCTTTACCGAAACGGGAAATGTCGAAATCGACTACTGTAGAAATGAAAAAGGTCGAAAAAATGCAAAATGTCGAAAAAACTTCGAAAAAGATGAATGTTTGAAAAAAATAAAAATTAAGTGTTCTGAGCAGCTTTTCAAATGTTCTAGAGTTCCTGAGAAGGAAAAAGAAAGTTCTACAAAATTACGCCGAAAAAACATTTTTTTTCGAAAAAAAAGGAAAAGGTTAAATTTTTGAAAAAAACAAAAATTATTTATGTGTTTGTTTCTTAACCTATACCTAATGTTTCAGTTTGAATATTGTAAGTTCCCTTACATTTTAAGTTCTTTTAAATATGTTAGTTTTTTCAATATAGTAAGAATTTTGAAATGTTAGTTTACGTTCGTTAATACCAAGGGAATTGATTAAGTTATCCCTTTAGTTATCAAACTATTAAATATTATCTTTTACCCACTTTAAATATTCGAAATGTCAAGATTTCAAAAAAACCGTCTGTAGATTAAAAAAAAAACGGTGGTAACCGGTTTGAAAAACCCGAGTCAATTACCCTACTGCCGACACTTCTTTTTCATGTCAAAATCCCATTGGCATATTTCATTTAGCTTCAACAGAATAAATATATAGAATTTAAACTTTTTTTAGATTGTATTTTAATATAGCATTTTAGGTAGAATTCTACCCAAAGACCGACGAACGATTAACTTGTTTTTGAAATTTTCGAAATAAAGCTTTCTTAAATCTCACTCGTTTGACACACATATTATAATATTTTATTCGACGTGTTATTTAAATTTATTTTAATTTTTTGAAAAGATGGCAACCCTGTAAAAATATTTCTACAATAAAGCATTTTGCTTATCTCGTTTGATACCCACATTAAAATATTTCGTTTAAACTTTTTAATAGAATTTATTTTAACTTTTTAAATAGATAGCAACCATCTTAAAGTATATTTAGTTATCAATTAATTGACTTCTACTTTTTTAACAGGTGGCAACCCTCTTAAAAAATACTTACGAAATATATAGTTTCTGAGCCGCTTTCGTTTGACACCCATATTGCTGAAATATTTTGTTTAACTTGTTAATAAATCGATTTTAACTTTTGAAAGCGGTGGCAACTCTCTTAAAACAATATTTTATTCGTTAAGCCAGGATATAAACTGTCTGTATTCCAAATTTTATTGAAAGCAACAAACATACTTAACTGAAGGAGCAACAAACATACTTACTCACAAACTTTCACATTTATAATATTAGTACATAGGGTTAGTGGAATTTAACTTAAATAAATCAACCTGTTGAAATTCGCGCGAATTTTACACATCATTCATTACATTATTTCGATATAATTTTTCAACATTTTTCTTTTCGACAATTTTTTCTCGACGTTCTTGATTTTTTAACTATTTTTTTCTACATTTTTTTCGGTGTTTTTTAGTTTCGACATTTTAAATTTCGACATATCGTACCAGACCTTTGAACAGGAGCAAAATGAGAACAAGGGTTCGGGAACTTTTCCGTAAAGATCAAAATGCGAACAAAACTCTCCGGAACTTTCTCAAGAAGAACAGATTAGGAACGAAACTTTCGGGAACGCTTTCAATGGGAACAAAATGAATTCGAAAGTATCGAGAACGTTTTCAAGGAGGATCAAATAAGGACAAAAGTCTGGGAACATTCCGATAGCGAACAAAAGTTTTGAGAACTGAACTCTAGCAATAAGAGGGGCATCTACGTGTTTGTATGAAAAATCGTTTTAGTGAAAACTATGATTGTTATTTCTAAAGCAGGTATCACACGATTGGTACATTTGTACATTTTCATAGTTACAGAGTGGTGTTGGTTGGAACTTTGTTATTGAGTTGAACTCATTATTTCAAGACAACACCACTCTGTCACTGCCAAATCTGTACAAATCTGTACAAATGTACAAATCGTGTGATCTCTGCTTTAACTGAAATTATTTTAACTTCCATAGCGTTATCATCTATGGCATAATTTTTTATTTTCTTTGCAAGAAAAGTTCGTGTCTTACGTCTTTCGTTGACTTAATTTGCATAGTTATCTTTCAATTCTTTTTTGATTAGTTAAGTTAGATAAAAATCTGGTTCTCAATTCCATTCTTCGCGAATAGTTCAGAGAAGATTTGTTCCCGTTTCGTTATCTGTCAG